TTGTTTAGTTTCTTAAGCTCTTTATACATTCTGGGTATTAATCCTTTTTCATTTGCATAGTTTGCAAATAATTTTTCCCATTCTTTTGATCGCCTCTTCACTATGCTGAGTGTTGTTTTTGCAGTGCAGAAGCTTCTCAGCTTGAAGTAATCTCATTTGTCAGTTTTGGTTTTGTTTGTCTGTGGTTCTGGGGTCTTTTCCAAGAAGTCGTGCCTATGCCAGTGTTTTGCAGGGATTTCACAGTATTCTCTAATGACTTGATGGTATTGGTTCCTAGCTTTAGGTCTGTAATCCATTTTGAGTGGATTTTTGTGTAAGGTATGAGGTAAACATCTTGTTTTGTACTTTTGGACGCAGAGATCCAATTTTCCCAGCACCATTATTTGAAGACACAGTCCTTGCTCTAGGATATGATTTTTAGTTCTTTTGTCAAAGATTAGATAATTGTAGATAGGTGCATTGATTTCTGGAGTTTTTCTTCTGTTCCATTGGTCTACAAATCTGTTTTTTTTTTTTTTTTTCTAGTACCAGGCTGTTTTGATTATAACCGCCCTGTAGTATGTCTTGAAATCTGGTATTGTGATGCCTGCAGCTTTGTTTTTGTTGTACAAGATTGCTTTAGCTATTCCAGGGTCTGTCTTGTTTCCATGTGAATTTTAGCATTTTTCCTAGATCTGAGAAGAAATTCCTTGAATTTTGATAGGGATTTCATTGAATCCATGTGAATTTTAGCATCATTTTTCCTAGATAGGAGAAAAATGTCCTTGTTATTTTGATTGGGATCCTATTGAATCTTTCAGTAGTATGACCTTTTTGATAATATTGATTCTTCTAATCCATGAACATGGAAGATTTTTCCATTTTTATATACAATTTTTATATATAATTTCTTTTTTCTTTAATGTTTTATAATTTTATTTGTAGAGATAATGTTTAAATTTATTCCAAGGTATTTTTTTAAGTTATTATGAAAGGGGTTGATCTTATAAGTTCTTTCTTAGCCATGGCATTGTCTTGTTTAACAAGTCTGTTGCTTTTTGTGTGTTAATTTCATATCCTTCCTCTTTACCAACCTCTTTTATGAATTCCAGCAGTCTTTGAATGGAGTCTTTTGGTTTCCCTATATAAAGAATCATGTGTTCTGCAAATAGGGGTAGTTGAGTTGTTCCGTTCCAGTTTGTATCTCTTTGATTTCTTTTTCTTGCCTGATGGCCCTGGCTAAAACCTCCAGGACTATATTGAATAGCAGTAATGAGAGTGGGCATCCTTGTCTGGTTCTGGATTTTAGGGGGAATGCTTCCAAGTGTTCCCCATTCAATAGGATGCTGGCTGTAGGTTTGTCATAGATTGCCTTGATTGTTTTGAGGAATGTTACTTCTGTACCCAATTTGCTTAAGATTTTCATCGTGAAAGGATGTTATATTTTATCAGCTGCTTTCTCTGCATCTATTGAGATCATCATAAGGTGTTTGTTCTTTAGTTTGCTAATGTGATGTATCACATTTATTGATTTGCTAATACTGAAAGATCCCTGCATCCCAGGGATAAATCCTACTTGGTCTGGGGGAATAATCTTTCTGATGTGTGATTGTATTCTATTACCTCGTATTTTGTTAAGAATCTTTGCATCTATGTTCTTCAGAGATATTGGTCTATAGTTCTCTTTCTCTGTTGTATCTTTTTCTGGTTTAAAAATTTAGGTGATGCTGGCTTCATATAAGGGGGTTGAGAGGCTTCCCTCCCTTTGAATTGTTTTGAATAGCTTGTAAATAATTGAAATTGGTGGTTCTTTAAATGTCTAGTAGAATTCAGTAGTGAAGCCATCTGTTTCTCGACTATTCTTTGTTGGGAAGGTCTTTATTACTGATTCAATCTCTGTTTGGTTGTGGTCTGTTTAGGTTTTCTATGTCTTCAGGACTCAAAATTGGTAGGTTGTATTTGTCCAGGAGTCATCTGTTTCTTCTAGGTTTCCTGATTTGTTGGCATATAGCTCTTTGTAATAATATGTGATGATTCTGTTTATTTCTGTGGTATCTATTTTTATATTTCTTTTTTCATCTCTGACTTTATTGATTTGAGTCTTCTCCCTCCCCCCACCTCCTTTGGTTAGTTGGGTCAGTGGTGTTTCAATTTTGTTTATTTTTTCAAAAAAAAAGCTCTTCATTTCATTGATCCTTTATATATTTTTTTGGTTTAAATTTTGTTTACTTTTTCACTAATTTTAATTATTTCTTTCCTTCTACTGATTTGGGGTTTTGTTTGTTGTTGGTTTTTAGGTCCTTGACATAAATTGATTGCTCATTTATTTGGTGCCTTTTCAGTTTCTGGGAATTTATCCAAACAGTTACTATAAATTTCCCACTTAACTATGCTTTTGCTGTATACCAAAAGTTTTGCTATGTTGTAATCTTCATTTGTTTCTAAAAAGTTTTTGATTTTTTTTTCTGAGACCTACTGCTCATTCAGGAGCATGTTGTTCATGTATTTGCATATGTTCTAGATATTCTTGAGTTTTTGGTTTCCAGCTTCATTCCATTGTGGTCAGAGAAGATGCATGTTGTGATTTTGATTTTTTTTTTTTTTTAATTTGCCAAGACTTACTTTGTGGACTAGCATTTGGTCTACCCTAGAGAAAGTTCCATGCACTGATGAGAAGGATGTGTATTCTGCATGTGGGTTGAAAGTTCTGTAGCTATCATTATGTCCATTTGGTTTCTTTGTTGATTGTTCTGTGCATTGATGAAAAGGGGATATTGAATTCCCTCATTACTATTGTATTGGAGTATATGGCTCCCTTTAGATCCATTAACATTTCTTTTAAATAGACAGGTGCCCTGTATTTGGGTGCATGTACATTTATTATAATTACATTTTCCTGTTGAATTGATCCCTTAATCATTACATACTGCCCTTCTCTGTCTCTTCTAACAGTTTTTGTGTTGAAGTCTATTTTGTCTGATATTAAGATGGCTATACTATCTCCTTTTTTGCTCTCAGTTAGTATGTACTATCTTTTTCCATCCTTTCACTTTTAGTCTGCGTGTTTTTTCCATATTTGTATAATCTTTATGCAAAAATCAGATATATTCAACACTTTAAATCTCTTAATTTTGTAGATAAAATCAGGAACACTAATGCTGCCAATACTGATTATGTAAGCTCTTTATTCAGCAAGTGCAGAAATATGTTCCTTCTATTGGTTCATTATACAATACAATAAAATTAATGTGTTTAGAGGTAATGAGGAAAAGTGTTAGTTTGACTTTTCATGACCTCTTTCTCACAAGCATAGCATTCCAATAAAATTACAGAGATGTAAATACAGTTTTTCTGTTGAGTGACAAAGTTTTTTTTAATAAAATTTCTTGTGTTTCTTTAATTTTAAATGTATACTGCTATAATCACAATATTAATGTTGTAGAGCTGTTAAATGTACCATTTATATTTTTAAAAATTAGTGGTTGCTTGGTTTTCTCATCTAGTCCACAACAGCTTTAGAATAAGAAAATGAAATCCTTCTAGTCTTGTGTATGAAAATCTTAGCATTGCAGGTGGAGTAAACACATTCATAACAAACTTATTACATAACATTTTATGATTGTGCTGTCTTAAAGTAGATCACTATTTGAGTCATTTCATTTCCCATGACCATTTTAGAATCCAATGAATGAAAATACCTATTTAATTTTAGTGATGACATTTTTAAGTGTTGTAATAAAATAGAAAGGTAAGAATTTTTGGAGTATACTTGAGTTGAATATTGTGAAATGAAGATCAGTATTTTTCTAAGCCATCAAAACTTTTTCTTTTTACTTGAACACATGGCATCAAAGAAAGACCTGCACTACCATGTTTAGAGCAGCACTGTTCACAATGGCCAAAATCTGGAATCAACCAAGGTGTCCATCATCAGATGAATGGTTAAATAAATAGCAAATAGGTATAAAAAGAATGAAATTTTTGCAGCAAAATGGACACTACTAGAAGACATCATGTTGAGTGAAATAAGCCAGACTCAGAAAGGCAACTACCGCATGTTTACCCTTGTATGTGGGAGTGAAAATTTGAAAAACAAACAAAAAAGAAATGTTGCAGTATTGCTGCAACTATAGTTTTGTAAAACTTTGTTTTAATATCTTTGTCAAACCAATGGTTAAGTTTTATGATCTGTTTTTACTTCAAAATTTACTGTATATGTGTGAAAAAAACTTTTCTTTTTGCCATATAGGGTATTATTTTAATTCTTAATATGAATTTAAAAAGAATAGATGACACACACACCTATTATTTTTTTTTATTTGTCTTATCTATTTGAAAGGCAGAGAGCCAAAGAGAAAGAAATACAGGTTATCTCCAGTCTGCTGGGTCACTCTCCAAATACCTATAACATCCTGGGCTGGGCCAGGCTAAAGTCAGGAGTTAGGAACTCACTCCATCTTTCCTTACCGGAACCATCACCTGCTGCCTCCTGGGGGTCTGCATTGGTAGGATGCTGGGGTCAGGCGTCAAAGCTGGGACACAGTGCTTACATATTAATCACTAGGCTAAGCACCTGCCCCAGCAGTTGACATCTGTCCAAATTATGTGCCCAGTGTTTGGATTGTCAGCTTGTGATGATGCAAGTAAAAATGTATCCTGAGGGGCAAGTGTTGGATGCAGCAGTTAAAGTTACTGTTTTGGATGCCTACGCCCATATTGGAATGCGGCTTCTTGCTTACATGCACTTTGGTGGGCAACAGGTGATAGTTCAAATACTCACGGTGTCCCTGCTACCTATATGGGAAACTGAGAGGGAATTTTGGCAACTGGCTTCAGGAAGAACTGGTGAATAGGTGCTCTCTTTCCCTCTCTATATCTCTAAAATCTGCCTTTCAAATAAAATGAAAATAAAGAAATGAAAGTTTTTAAATATTGTCAGGTCAGCATCCTCTGCATAAAACTGAAATGGAGGAAACAGAAAGGTGGTATTAAGACTATTTTCTTATTCTATTTTCTTTTAGCATTGGTTTACTGAACTACCACCTGTGTTAACATTTGAATTGTCAAGATTTGAATTTAACCAGGCCTTGGGAAGACCAGAAAAAATTCACAACAAATTAGAGTTTCCCCAAGTTTTATATCTGGACAGGTATGGTTTGATACACTATATGACTTGGTTTTGAAATTAGTAGGCAAGTGAAGAATTTTTATAGTTAGAGGATAATTCTGCTTAATTTTGCTTTTTTATTATTAATCTTTACTAAGTATTAAACTAATACTATTTGTCAAAGAGATAGTTTATTTTTGTGTTAGAAAAATATAATTACTGGCATAATATTATATGGAAATAAAATATTTTTGTAATCCGAAAATTCTGATTGAATTTTAAAATAAACGCTCTTTTGGGGCTGGTGTTGTGGCAGAGTGTGTAAAGCTGTCGGCCATATGGCACTGGTTCAACTCGTGGCTGCTCCACTTCCAGTCTAGCTGCCTGCTAGTGGCCTGGGAAAGGCAGTGGAGGTTGGCCCAGGTGCCTAGGAGAAGCTTCTGGCTCCTGGCTCTGGCCTGGGTCAGTGCAACCGAGGCTGCTATGGCCAACTGGGGAGTGAACTAGCGCTTGGAAGATCTCTTTCTCTCTGGCTTTCCCTCTCATAATTCTACCTTTAAGATAAATAAATAAATCTTATAAAAATGCTAGTTTATATTATCTGATATCTTACAAAATTTCAACTGGATTAGTCTTTTTTAGTGGTAGCTAGTTTTAATATTGTCCCTAATTATAAGGTCCTTGGAAATGTTAATATTTATTGTTTTTCTCCTAATAGATACATGCACAGAAACAGAGAAATAACAAGAATTAAGAGAGACGAGATCAAGAGACTTAAAGATTATCTTACAGTATTACAGCAAAGATTAGAAAGGTATTTTAACTTTTATGAAATTATGAGATAACTATGGGAAGTCATGGGATTGGTGACTGTTTAGGTTTTTAATTTTAAATTTACCTTGAATGACTTACAAGTCTAGAAATAGATCTTGTCTTTTTAAAAGATTTTGGCTAAATAGTTTATTTCTGAGTTTTTTATCTGAGAACTATGATAATTATAATAATCTATAATTAGATTTAGAAGACTTAGTATTTAAAATCACATATATCATTGTCAACAGGTAATATATGGTGTTGAAAATAGAAATAAAATTAAATGAATCTAGTATGGGACTTTTCTTTTAGCATATGACTAAATGTTACTTTTGAGGTTTCCACTAAAATGAATGGTAGCTGAATTTTTCTCCTTTTGCAGAGAATACAAATTCAGATACCTCTCTGCTTCACAAAAGCTTACTAAAAGGAGGGAATTGGCATAGGTATAGAGTGATTGGTACAGGGTTGTCAAGAGAGCACATTTGTGTGTAGAGGGAGTGACATACAGCATTTATACATAGCTATGGTCTCACTGTTGTCTGTAGCTTCTGGTTACTTCTAAAAGAATTCAGAATCTAAACTATTAAGTGTCATGCAGGTAAGACAAAGTCTGTTGGCAGAAACGTGGCCTGAGGGATTCCAGTTTGTAACATCTGATCAAATTTGTATTCTCTCAATTTTAGATTGCAAATTAAAACCCTAAGATTTTTCATACAAAGTAATGTATCTTATTTCAACACTTTTTAATCGTGAAAAGTAGCATCATATTAAAAAATGATCAGAGCTAAAAGGAAGAGAATGAAACTCATTACCTTGTTCATGAGATCAAATGGCAGATCTAAAAATAAAAACAGTCTTAGGAAGGCATTAGGACTGTCAGTTTTCATCTTCCTGTTGAGTCATATTTTACAGCAGCATTTAGAAATTATTAGAATATATAAATACATTCAATATTAATCCCTTTTCTTTTTTTGAAGGATATTTAATTATATCTTGGATGTTTGAAAACAAATGCATTTCCTTTTTGAGGATGATTTATTTAAGTGGTGTACCATATTTTACAAGAATTATTTTTTGCAAACCCAAATGTACTGTATGTATAAGTAAAAGCCTTCATATTGTTATAATTCACAGATATTTAAGCTATGGTTCAGGTCCCAAGCGATTCCCGTTGGTAGATGTTCTACAGTATGCTTTGGAATTTGCTTCAAGTAAGCCTGTTTGCACCTCTCCAGTTGATGATATTGATGCTACTTCCCCACCCAGTGGTTCTGTACCAGCACAGACATTACCAAGGTAAAAGGTTTTCTTGATGAAAGAGAAATCTGTCTTACCTATATTGCGTAATAACATAATGAGGCCTTCAAAGGTAATTACATCCTGTGGTTTATTGTAACGAAGTCTTGGTTCACTTATTGTACATCTTTTGGATGGTTTTCTTATTTCATTATGTAAGTATATTTTGTGATTACAGATTTACATTTTCATCATTTTTTTCAATTTAAAATTGTACTTCAAGTTGTTTTGGTATATAGTAAGGTAAGTTTCAACTTTTTTTAGAAAATTATTTGAAAAGCAGGGAGGGAGCTGAAATGATACATTTCATTGATTCATCCTCCAAATCCTGCAAAAGCTGGAGCCTGAGAACCTGGAACACAATCTGTTTCTTTCATCTGGGTGGCAGGTATCCATCAAATTGAACCATTACCGGCTGCCCCACAGGATGCCTATTAATAAGAACCTAGAATGGCCGGCGCCGTGGCTCACTTGGCTAATCCTCCGCCTATGGTGCTGGCACCCTGGGTTCTAGTCCTGGTGGGGGCGCTGGATTCTGTCTCGGTTGCTCCTCTTCCAGGCCAGCTCTCTGCTGTGGCCAGGGAGTGCGGTGGAGGATGGCCCAAGTGCTTGGGCCCTGCACCCGCACAGGAGACCAGGAGAAGCACCTGGCTCCTGGTTTCGGATCAGCGTGGTGTGCCGGCCACAGCGTGCCGGCCGCAGTGGCCATTGGAGGGGGGTGAACAAACAGAAAAGGAAGACCTTTCTCTTTGTCTCTCTCTCTCACTGTCCACTCTGCCTGTCCAAAAAATAAATAAATAAATAAGAACCTAGAATCAAAAGTGAACCCAGGACTTGAACCCAGGCATTCTAGTATGGATGTGGTTATCCTGCTACACCAAACCCCTTGTCCCAGTTTCAGTCTTTCTTTATCCATGAAAATAATACTATTAAATCGGAATTTGTGAAGCTGATGTTGTGGCACAGTAGGTAAAGTTGGAGCCTGGGATGCCTGCCTCGCATATAAGCATCATTTCATGTCCTGGCTGCTCCACTTTGATCCAGCTCTCTGCTAATGCCTTTAGGAAAGCCACAGAAGATGATCCAAATACTTGGGTCCTTGCCACCCACATGGGAGACCTGAATTGGGATCCATGCTTCTGATTTTGTGTTGGCGCAGGTATAGCTGTTGTAGCCATTTGGAGAGTGAACCAGTAGATGGAAGATCTTACTCTTTGTGTGTGACTCTCCCTGTCTGTTTAATTTTGCCTTTCAAATAATTTTTTTGTATTTTTAAATTTATTTTTTAAGGTGAACAAATTTCATATAAACAGATTTAGGAGCATAGTGATACTTCTCACCCTCCTGCCTCCTTCCTTCTTTATTCTTTCTTATAATTTTTACAATGATATACTTTCAGTTTAATTTATACTCATAAGATTAACCCTATACTAATTGAAGAATTCAAAATAAAAAATCACTGTCCCATCACAGTAGAGACAAGGGCTGTAAACAAGCCTCAGAATGTCAGTCTTGCTCATATACATTACATTTTTTTGTACTCTGTAAGTGCACCACAGATCAGGGAAAACATATGGTATTTGTCTTTTTGGGACTGCCTTATTTCACTAAGTATAATGGCTTCCAGTTGCGTCTGTTTTGTAGCAAAAGACAGGATTTCTTTCATTCTTATTTTTGAGTAATATTCCATCATGTGTGTATACAACATTTTCTTAGTCATTGGTTGATGGGCATCTGAGTTGATTCCATATCTTAGCTATTGTGAATTGAGCTGCTGTTTCTTTAATATGAGCTGGCAAGTATTAGCAAGGGGAGGTCTGGAGGTCTTTATAATTTTAGCACACAGTAGATTTTTTTGCTGTCAATTTTTTAAAAAAATTAATTATTTTTACTGTAAAGCCACAATTTCATCCTTTTAATAATTTAGTCCTTATATTGTAAGAATCTTATTAGGATATTAGATCACTCCATTTATTTATTTATTTATTATTATTTATTATTTTTTTTATATTTTTGACAGTTAATTATTTTTTTTTTTTTTTATTAATTTTTGACAGGCACAGGGACCCGGGAGAGGAGACAGAGAGAAAATCTTCCCTTTCCGGTGGTTCCCCTCCGATGGCCGTAGCGGCCGGCGCGCTGCGGCGGGCGCACCGCGCTGATCCAATGGCAGGAGCCAGGAGCCAGGTGCTTTTCCTGGTCTCCCATGGGGTGCAGGGCCCAAGCACCTGGGCCATCCTCCACTGCACTCCCTGGCCACAGCAGAGGGCTGGCCTGGAAGAGGGGCAACCGGGACAGAATCCGGCGCCCCGACCGGGACTAGAACCCGGTGTGCCGGCGCCGCTAGGCGGAGGATTAGCCTATTGAGCCGCGGCGCCGGCCCCATTTATTTATTTTTAAAAATGTTTTCCTTTTCAAATTAGAGCTAATTTAATGTCTGTGTGTTTGGCATTATCTTTGTCAAGATTTTCAGTTTGAAAGTTTGATAGCAAATATTTTATGCTTTTTAAAATATAGCACAGCAGAGCCACAGGGAGCCCCTTCTTCAGAACTGCCAAGCACATCACCTGCATCAGTTGCTGCCATTTCGTCAAGATCAGTGATACACAAACCATTCACCCAGTCTCGGATACCTCCAGATTTGCCCATGCATCCAGCTCCAAGGCACATAACAGAAGAAGAACTTTCTGTACTAGAAAGCTGTTTACATCGTTGGAGGACAGAAATAGAAAATGACACCAGAGGTAAGAACCTTCTGGTCGTGGTAGCATAGCTACTGTCACCTCAGATGTGTATAATGTTAAAACTGAGACAGAAAATCACTTCTGGATTTCATATTTAAATATTAGAGTCATTTTTTTTTTTTCCGAGAAAAGGTTTTATGTAAGATGAAGTAGTGTGACTCCTCACTTTTATATTCTTAATATCAGGTTCATAGGAACCAAAAGATTTTCCCTGGATTAGGTAACTGATTAATGACTTAGCAGATGGTCTGATTTTCTGGTTTAGAGCTCTAAATTTATATCAAACTGGTATTTGCAGATTCTGTGTTGGTAAAATGTCATACAGAACCAAAGTTTGTATGTATCTGTTTTGTCCTTCACCTGATGTTTGCTTAACAAAGAAGCGTGTTAAGAGAAATTTTCTTTAGTCTTAAGAACTAGAAAGGAAATTTTTAATTTTTAAATCTGCTATAACAAATCTTTCAAATTGTGACCTATGGACACAGTGTTAATCTGTTACAGAATTTTAACTGGCAAAAAACAAAATGAGAAAGATAAGGACAATGCTCTATAGAGTATATGTGTATTAAGTTCCCAATCTGTTCTTTCTTTGAAGAAATTTCCTTTATATTGAATTTACATGTTTCCCACTTTCCTATTGTAAAGATGTATGTTTGTTTTAAATGAAATGATGTTAATACTTCATCATAGATTTTGTGAATTAATTTTTTTATTTATCAAAATGCTTTGTTATAATCCCCTTATGTTATGACAGTTCTGTTGGTTTGTGAAAAAAAATGTGGGAACTACAAGATTGGAATTTATTGACAATACTGGTTGTTGAATTTTATGTGACCAACTTTATATTAATAAAGAGCAAAGTAAAAAGTGAGTAAATAGGGAATTATGATTAATAACAAGCATTATTACTTGTAAAGATTTTCCTTAATATTTTCTATATATGAGGAATTATTTATTTATTTTTAAATGTATTTGAAAGCCAGAGTCACAGAGAGAGAGAGGGATAGACAGAGAAAGAGAGATGGATATTCCATCCTCTGGTTCATTCCCTGAATGGCCACAGTAGACAGGGCTGGGCCAGGCTGAAGCCAGGAGCCAGAAGCCTCCTATGGGTCTTTCATTAGGAGGCAGGAACCCAAGCACTTGGCCATCCCCCACTGCTTTCCCAAGCACATCATCAGGGAGCTGGATTGGAAGTTTTCCACTGGGTTTCAAAACCAGTGCCTTTATGGGATGCCAGTGTTCCAGGATGTTGCTACTATGTCACAATGCTGACCCCTGAGATTTTTTTTTTGTATTTGAACTTATTAACAAATATTAATTAAGCATAGAATGTTTAGCAAACACTGCTAACTGTTGGGGTAATTTTCTGCTAGGCATGGCCAATTATTTTTATGGGGTTAAATTCAGAGGATGGAAGCTAGGAAGCTTTTAAAACCGAAATAGTTGCATTGCTCTTCAGAAACTACTGATATTGATCAGTTGACTATGGATATGAGAGAGGATGGAGTCAGGAGTATCTCCTTAGTTCATAATGGTGTTGGTAACGAAATAGAGATCAATGCACCTGAGCAAAGTGATGGACCTCCCCCACCCCACCTCTGGGGAGGAGGTGGGAATATGATGAGTTCACTTTGGTCCCTTTTAAGTTTGAGAAGCTTGAGGGGCAGTCATAGATAAGCTTTGCATATATAATACTATAGGTCAGGAAAGGTTTTCCTTAGGAAATTTATTTCCTTACTTTCCTCCTTGTTGATAGTAGCTGTTAGCATTATTTTTAATTATTGTGTAGTACTCCAATATATTTGTGTGATAGAATTTATTTAATTTTCATATCAACATTCCCTGGCCTTCTGCATACATGCTTATATCCTCTAGGTTTTCATACCTATCTATATATAATATTATTATTTAATTGAAAGGCAGAATTACAGAACTGAAGGGAGACAGAGTGTGAGAGAGGTCTTCCATCTGCTTGTTCACTCCCAAGATGACTGCAATGGCTGGGGCTGGACCAGACTGAAGTCAGGGTTCTAGAACCCTGTCTGATCTCCAAGTGTTTGACAGGGACCCAAGCACTTGGGCCATCATCTGCTGCTTTCCCAGGTTCATTAGGAGGGTGCTGGATCCAAAGTGAAGCATTCAGGACTCTTGGCACTCATATGGAATTTTCCACATCTCAGTATGAATCTGAACCCACTGCACCACAACACTGGCCTCAGGATATATTCTTAAAAGTGCCATTTCTCATCTATTTAACTTAAATTTGAATTAACTGTTTTAAAATTTTCTTTCAAGGTGGCCTTTGTGTTGCAGCAGTTAAGCTGCCTCCTGTGACACTAGCTTTTAAAGATTTATTTTATTTGAAAGGCAGAGTTCCAAAGAGGCAGAGGCAGAGAGAGAGATCTTTGATCTGCTGGTTCACTCCCCAAATGACCATAACGGCTGGAGCTGAGCCGATCCAAAGCCAGGAGCCAGGAGCTGCTTCTGGGTCTCTGACAGGGGTGTAGAGACCCAAGGACTTGGGCCATCTTCCACTGTTTTCCCAGGCCATAGCAGAGAGCTAGATTGGAAGAGGAGCAGCTGGGACTCAACCCAGCGTCCATATGGGATGCCGGCACTACAGGTGGTTGTTTTACCCACTTTGCCACAGCGCCGGCCCCAATAAATAAATCTTTAAAAAATTTTCCCCTCAAAACATTGAGTCAGTTTACAGTCCTGTGAACTGTGTATAAGAAAGGCTGCCAGCTAATACCCTATCTCTGGTGCTTTTTAATTTTTGGTAGTCTGATGGTAAAAATATATTTCAGTGTCTTGATTTGTCTTTCCTTAATGATGAGTGAAATTGTAGTTGTTTATTTTTATTGTCATGTAAATCTCTAATTTGTAACATGGTAATTTTTTGTATTGTGTTTTTCTTACTGCTTAGTAGAAAGTTTAATGCATTATAGATATTAGTCTTTGTCCAATAGTATATGCAGTCAGTTTTTCACTTTATTTTCTTTATGTATGTTGTCTTTAGTTATGGTAATTTAGATTTTATAAGTTTTATGTGTGAGGGTCTTATCTTTTCCTTTATGGTGCTGAGACAGAGGGAGAGAGTTTGGGAGAGAGAGAGACTGACTGGGAGAGAACTCAAATCTGCTAATAGACTCCTCAAATGCCTGCAATGGTCAGGGCCAAAGCTGACAGCTGAAAAGGCAAATTAATTTTCTCATTTGGGTTGCAGAAACCCAATCACCTGAACCATCCCTGCTGTTGTTCAGGATCAGCATTAGCAGGAGCTGTAGTGTGGAAGTAGAGCTGGGAATTGAATCCAGGCAATCTAGTGTGGGATTCTGGGATTGAAACCATTAGGCTAAAATACCCACTCCTAGTCACTAGACAAGTCTTTCCACATTCTAAAGCTAGTAATATTTTCTCATAGTCTTTCATGGTTTCTTCCAAATTCTGTTCCATGGCCTCACACTATGGTGTGGTTATATTATAATCCATTTCTCTACTGACAGATATTTAGATAAGCTCCCCCTTTTAAAAATTATTATGCACATTATAGCTGTGAACATTCTAATCTCTGAATAATTTTATAAGATTAATTTTTATTAGAAATAGAAGCAATAGGTAATGGAAATACCAAAATTTTATTTTATATAATATTACATTCATATATGTATACTCATAGTCATAAGATAGGTGGTGAAGTTATTTTCTCCTTAAGTTTTCCTGTTTTATATCAATATGTAATGGGATTTAGTTTTAAGTCTTACTGAGATCTGCTTACGTAGATTTGGGAAAAAGTTCAATTTTATTGACTCTGAATATTTTCTAGATGAATAACATTTTTATTAACTTTTTAATGTTTTATGTATTAATTTGAAAGGGAGAATAGCAGAGAGAAAAAGACAGAGCTCTCCTATCCACTGGGTCGTTCCCCAGATACCTACAATAGCTGGGCCTGAATCAGTCTAAAGCTGGAGCCAGTGGCTCTTAATGGATCGCCCATGTGGATGACTTACCCAGTTATTTAGGCCATCATCTATTGCCTCTCAGGTACATTAGCAGGAATCTGTATGAGAAGTGAAGGTGAGCCTTGAGCCTAGGCTTGATCTAGAACTCGATCTCTGATGTGGGATGCAGATCTCCCCACTGGTAACCTGATGCACACAAACCCTGCTCCTATTTTGTTATTTAATTATGTATTCACAGTATGCCTTTTATTAAGGAGAACTGTATCTCAGTTTATTCAGGTTCCAAATGTGTCCAAATATAATGTTATCTTTTTTTAAAGATTTACTTTATTTATTTGAAAGAGAATTTCAGAGAGAGAGAGAGAGAGCTAGAGATACATAGAGTGAGATCTTCCATTCGCTGCTTCACTCCCCAAATAGTTGCAACAACTGGAGCTGGGCCAGGCTGAAGCCAATAGCCAGGAGCTTCTTCCTGGATTCCCACGTGGGTGCAGGGAACCAAGGACTTGAGCCATCTTCTGCTGATTTCACAGGTGCATTAGTAAGGAGCCAGATCAGTAGTGGAGCAGCCAGGACCCAAACTAGTGCCTATATGGGATGCTAGTGTTGCAGATGGTGGCTTAAGCGATTATGCTGCAACATTGGACTCCCAAATGTGATGCTATTAAAAGAATTTTAGGGGAAAGTTTTCTTGTACCTCTACCATGCTTATAAGAAGAAATTTAGTCCCTAGTTTGTAAGTCTCAGTAGAAATGCAACTGATGGTAATCACTAGCTTATATCTGATTTATATCCTTAGATTTGCAGGAAAGCATATCCAGAATCCATCGAACGATTGAACTAATGTACTCTGACAAGTCTATGATCCAAGTAAGTGAGATTTTGAGCTAGTATCATTGTCAACAGTATTTGCATATGTATTTTTTTTTATTTTTAATTTTTGACAGGCAGAGTGGACAGTGAGAGAGAGAGAGACAGAGAGAGAATGCATATGTATCTTAATTTATCATTATAGTATTTATCTTGACCTAATTCTTTATTATGTTTTGCTATGAAATTTTGGTAATTATGTTGTAAAATGACATAAACATGTTAGGAAAAAGGATAACTAATAATTTAAGAGTAAAACTGAATGAAGAAGAAAGTTTTCTAACAAGATTAGAACACATTTCCCTCACTTAGTTGTATTCTCATACTTCATTTTCCTTTTTATTTCTTAAATTGTTTCTAAAGATTTATTTATTTGAGAAAGTTGTAGGCAGAGAGGAAGAGACAAGGAGAGAGATCTTCCATCTAAAGGTGCACTTCAGGATTAGGCAAAGCTCCATCCTGGTTTCTCACATGGGTAGCAGGGTCCAACCACTTGGGTCATTTTCTGCTGCTTTTTCTTGGCCATAAGCAGAGAGCTGGATTGGAAGTCAGCAGCTGGAACATGAACCAGTGCCCATATAGGATGGCGGCTTTACCTACTGTGCCGCAAGTTTATCAAGCTTCTCCAAAAGTTCTTATTTACTATTAAACTTTTATAGTAGAAAAGAAATATGATTGTTTAAGGAAACAAGATTTTGGGAGGAACTCTAAGTCTCCATTACATTTTAACTTCTGGTATACATTATCTAATTCATTTAATAAGCTGTCAATTTATGATTATAAATATTTGGATAAATCATGTATTGTATATGAACTGTTTACCATAAGTTCTTTATTCAGAAGAAAGAGTTCAATAAATATATATACAACAAATAACATTTTGATTTTCAAAAAGCATCTTATATATATACCTGTCTACTTTATATATCTTTAGCTCATTTAACTTCTCTTGCTTAATTTTTTGGTTTAATTCTTCAAAAAATTTTAATCTAGTTTTCTTCTGTTTTAAAAAATATATTATGTGGTTGCCTTCAAATATGTAGTTTGTGGATTTTATGGACTATTATATAATAGAAATGTAATTACAGATCAACTTCTCTTCTTTCTTTTCTTTTTTCCCCACATTTAGGTTCCTTATCGCTTACATGCTGTTTTGGTTCACGAAGGCCAAGCTAATGCTGGGCACTACTGGGCTTACATTTTTGATCATCGTGAAAACAGGTGGATGAAGTATAATGATATTGCTGTGACAAAGTCATCATGGGAAGAGTTAGTGAGGGACTCTTTTGGTGGCTATAGAAATGCCAGCGCATACTGTTTGATGTACATAAATGATAAGGCACAATTTTTAATACAAGGTAAGAATGTGAAATATTTTGGGCGGTATATGGCTTTTAAATAAGTAGCATTCTTTTTTGCCCAGTTCTGCTCATTTGATAAGATTTGGTTTAGATGTCATCTCCCCTACAGAGTTTTTCTTGACCTTCCAGAAAAGTGTCTCTCCTTATACTCTTGTAGCATACATGTATTGGGCATTTCTTGTTGGAACTCCATGTGGACTTTGATGTGTATTTCACTCTGATTTTCTCACAGGTAGCTTCCATGTCTTACTATATTTTAATTGTTTTATTTCTTCTATTCTAATATGCATATGGGAAGCTCTTAATAAAAGGTTTGTTGAAACTGATAAAATGAACTTTCTTTTTGTATGTATCTATTCTCAAAACCAGCTAGACAATCCATTAATAATAGAAAAGGTAAAGTTGATATTGTGTGTATAGTAGAGGTTTAGGAGATCCTTTAAATAGTATTTTTGTAATGTTTTTAAAAATCTGGCTATGTTGATTTGTTTTCATAATTGTATATTTTTATGGCTATACTTAACTGCTGCAGATGAAAAACAATTTTAGTTCTGTTTCACACTTTATAAGGTTGTCACTGTTTCTTATGTTATGAAAAGATTAATTTCCTGAGTAATCAAATGTACTTTTTTCTTACAATTACGGAAATGTTATTTTATCAATGTAGAATAGCAAAAAAATAGTTTGTCTAATATCATTTTTACTCAGCTTAAAAAAAATCTGAGAACATTACCTGTAATGGACTATCAGATATATATATGTATATATTGTGTTTTTCTGAACATTTATGTTTTAGAAAAATTTTGAATAATACTGATTTGCTATACAATTCATAGTTTAAATCCCATTTCAAATGTATTTTATTTTGAACTTTGCATTTTTCCTTTAATTCTTAATTTTATACTAGTTTTTGAAATATGATTTGCAGAGGAGTTTAATAAAGAAACTGGGCAGGCTCTTGTTGGAATAGAAACATTACCACCAGATTTGCGAGATTTTGTTGAGGAAGACAATCTGCGATTTGAAAAAGAACTGGAAGAATGGGATGCACAACTTGCCCAGAAAGCTTTGCAGGAAAAACTTTTAGCATCGCAGAAATTGAGGGAGTCTGAGCCTTCTGTGACAACAGGTTTGTCCATTTTTATTAAGCTGTATTTAATTATCAACATCATTATATTTATTATTATTTTGTAATAAAAATTGGATATACTTGCTGGAAAAAAATCTTTAGCCATCTGGAAGTGTGAACAGGTTAGTCAAAATCATCAGTAATGAGATATTCCCAGCTAACAGTTTTGTTTTCCCCTTTGGCAGATACCATTGTCTGCATATACATATTGAGCAACCCTTGTGCTAGGTACTTGGGACTAGGAGTTGTTTGTAGTTTTTCAGATTCTGGAATATTGGCATAACTTTTACTGATTGAATATCTGAAATCCAAAAATGAGAAATGCCAGATATTTCAAATTTTGAAAACTTTTTGAGCATCATATCGGCACTCAGTAACTGTTTCAAATTTTGGAGCTTTTTAGATTTTGGATTTTCTGGCCAGCGCCGTGCGGCTCACTAGGCTAATCCTCCACCTGCGGCACTGGCACCCAGAGTTCTAGTCCCGGTTGGGGCGCTGGATTCTGTCCCGATTGTTCCTCTTCCAGTCCAGCTCTCTGCTGTGGCCTAGAAAGGCAGTGGAGGATGGCCCAAGTGCTTGGGCCCTGCACCCGCATGGGAGACCAGGAGGAAGCACCTGGCTCCTGGCTTCGGATCGGTGTAACACGGTGCCGGCCATAGCAGCCACTCTGGGGGGTGAACCAACGGAAAAAGGAAGACCTTTCTCTCTGTCTCTCTCTCTTACTAACTCTGCCTGTAAAAAAAAAAAAAAAAAAAAATTTTAAAAAAGATTTTGGATTTTCTGATTAATGATGCTCAACTTTTTTATCTTTGGATAAATGAGATGATTCTGCTGGCTCTACCTATCCTGCCTACTCTTGAGTGTAATCGACTCTTCTTGGCAAGAAACAGAAAAAGCTGTGACGATATCAGGCAACAAAAACAAAGGCACTATTAGAACTTGACCTAGTAACTTCAAATTGGAGCAAAATAATACTGCTAATATACCCTTCTGTTTTTATATAATACTAAAATAGCACTTTTAACTTAGAGTATTTATTTGATTTTAGCCAAAATTAAGTATTTGATATATTCCAAGTGAAAATCTATAGAACTGTAAGATATTTTTGAGTGCTAAATACTCAAAAATAAATATGAAAATGTCATTATCATATAAACTACTAGCTGATGAGTGCAATATGGTTTTTAAAATTAGCACTGGATAAAAATGAGGGAAATATATTCTATCAAAATGAAAAATTGAATGTCTTGATTTTTTGAAAGAATAATTTTATCATTTAAGTTGTGAATATATTTTACAGCAGCATATTTCCTGCTGTAAAAGAGAAAATGTTGTTTCCCTGTAGTAGTTCAATAAACAAGAAGCTAAAAATTAAACCCAGATGTTTTCCTCCAACTCATTTGTCTTTAACAACAACAAAAAAACCTGATCATTTTGATTTTTTTTCTTTTTAGAAGGTGTGTGTGTTTTGTTTTTATTTAAGGAAACCATTCAGAATTTTGATTGTTTAATTTCACCTCTTATAAACAGATTTCCATGCAGGATTACTTTTGTGGGTTTTAGCATTATCATTTTTATAAGACGGAATTATTCCTTTAATAGAAAATTCACAGTACCACAATATGGCATGCACAGATCTGTCCAGATTTGTAACTTGGTTTTCATGTAAATTGAATGTAAAGTCATTGATTTTGATCTTGAAATAAATAAATCAGAATTTTTAAAAGACCACAATAATGATATTATACAAGCAAAGATGCTAACATATCACTACTTACACAACATACAATCTACTATCACAGTGACTGGTGAATTCTACCACTATTCAAAGTTAGCTTTTTTCCATGCATACATCCAGGGTCCAGCTATGGGTGCACAACAATACAGTTTCAGTGGATATCAAGAGATATTTAGACTCAAATCACATGTAGTAACTATATTATAGTTCTTTGCATTTTTAAATCAATTCCACCCCCGGATGACTTCATCCTTTGTCTTCTGTGATATATGTCCCAAACCACTCCCCAAAACTTGTCACAAGATGGAGGCACTATGTTGTTTTCCCCATAGTGTTTTCATACTTCATTTTCATGGAATTGTTCTTGTCTTGTTACCCTGAATGGAAGGGACTGCATCATTGCTGTAAGTGATAGTAAGTAGTACTTAAGCATTCACAATGAATCCTTTGTTTATTGATTAAGCTCCTATTCTTGGCATACTTATATTTTGTATAACAAAGTTATAAATTCTGTGCAGCTTCCTCTCTTTATCTTGTTTTTTATCATAAGACTCTCCAAATTCACAGAGTTAACTGTTTTGTTGTACTAAGTCAAACTAGTTCATACTCACCACCAGTACACCTATCTGGTAAAGATTAGCCTTGTCCTGTTTTTTTATGTCTGTCATCTTTTTTTTTACTTTTTGCATGTGTCATATTATTCTCTGTAAAAAGGACAGACTGCATGCCTTGCATTCCTTTCCTTTTCTTTTTTTCCCCCATGAACAGTACTTCCCACTCCATACTTTAAATGCTGTTTTATAACTTTAAAAATGTTTGCCACTGGGTTTTGGTCATATATATTCATATATCTTTTTATTATGTAAAGCAAACATGAAGAGAGTACAGGTATATTTCTGAGGCATGCTAACTAAGAGAGAGGTGGATGTGGTCAATTCACATATGAGAGTTAAGATAATTCTCTTCCAGGCTGGGTTTTTTGAAAGCTGGGGAAATAGTCTTTCAAAAGGGAACATTGTGTCTTCTATAGAACTGATGGAAACATGTACTTTGTGAGACTTAACAGCAATAGAATTCCAAGTCTATAAATTTGGAAAACAAGATTACTATTAAAAGTTTGCTACCTATTACTGAATTAAGTAATCGATTCTCTGCTATAGGGGAATTTAGCATATCACAATTGAGTAAGGCTGATGTTTTATTAGAATGATTTATCTACCATCATTAGTATAGAAATTTTTATTTTGATGCCCAAATCATCTTTTTCCTACATCTCTAAATAGTTTCAAAGTAATTTGTTTCATTTGGTATTATACTTCCAGGACCTCAGAAAGAATGTGTATTTAAGTCTCTGTTGTGTACGAGGATAATGAGTGATGAATAGAAGTAATACAAGCAAATGTTGCTCATAAAATCCAGTAGAGTGATTTTTTCTTTACCTCCTTGAAAAATCTTTTCAATAATTCTGTGACATAAGAAGATTAATATCCAATTTTTGATCAAATTAGTATTTGTCGTCTTGACCAAGAAATGCATATGCATTAATCCTCCAGTCCCATTGATACTTCTAGGCCATACCGCATTACCAAAGATGTAGGCATCAGAATTGCCAGGGAGAGGGAGGAGGGAGGGAGGAAGGGAGGGAGGGGAAAGAAGGCTATTTCCTTCATTCACCTAAACCAGATTAATCCTCATTCCCTCTTGTGTAGCAGAAATATTCCTGTTACCAGTATGGTAAAGATCTTCCTCATATTTCTGAGTCTTTATGAACTCTTCTCAGCTCACCACCCCACAGCAGCTATTATCCGTTTCCTTCCAATCCTGGTCTAATTTCACTACTAAATTTATAACATTCTTCTTTATGTTGTACTTATATTTTCACTTGCTTACCAATATAAAGGATTCTATTTTTTTTATCTGTCCTTACAGTGCTTTTGCATGTGCTCTTAATTCTGCCTGGAGCCTTCTCCTTTCTCATCTTGAAGATAATCTCTACAAATCCTTCAAGATTCTGCTCAGTTCATGTTTCTTCTAGAAAATCTTCACTAACATACAACATTATCCCAAGTGTTTGTATTAAGTCTAAAGTGGTTTTATAGAACCTTGTACATAACTTTGTTATTGCATTTAGCACATTATATTACAATAGAGTACATAGTTACCTGATTTTATTGAGATCCTTAATGAGTAAATTATATAAATTAAAACATAGCACAGTACTTAAAGTGACATAGGGTCAATAAACATGTTGGGAATGCAGTTTGAATTTCTTGTTCTAATCTCCCAGGTGTGTTGAATCTTTGTAGGTTTACCTACTGTGACTTTTTAAAAAGTTAATCTATTTATTTGAGAGGCAGAGTTACATACAGAGAGAGGAAGAGACAGCGAGAGAGGTCTTCCATCCGCTGGTTCACTCCGCAAATGGTCACAATGGCCGGAGCTGGGACATTCCAAAGCTAGATCCCAGCGGCCTCTTCTGGGTCTCCCACATGGGTACAGGGGCCCATGGACTTGGACCATCTTTTGGTGCTTTCCCAAGCACAGTACCAGGGAGCTTGATTGGAAGTGGAGCATTCAAGACTCAAACCCACTCCCCTTTGGGATGTCCACACCACAGGCAGAGGGTTAAACTTCTTTTTACTTTTTTTTTTTTTTTTTTTTTTTTGACAGGCAGAGTGGACAGTGAGAGAGAGAGACAGAGAGAGAAAGGTCTTCCTTTGCCGTTGGTTCACCCTCCAATGGCCGCCGCTGCAGCCGGCGCACCGTGCTGATCCGATGGCAGGAGCCAGGAGCCAGGTGCTTTTCCTGGTCTCCCATGGGGTGCAGGGCCCAAGCACCTGGGCCATCCTCCACTGCACTCCCTGGCCATAGCAGAGAGCTGGCCTGGAAGAGGGGCAACCGGGACAGAATCCGGCGCCCCAACCGGGACTAGAACCCGGTGTGCCGGCGCCGCAAGGTGGAGGATTAGCCTATTGAGCCACGGCGCCGGCTAGAGGGTTAAACTTCTAACACCACAGAGCCAACCCAACCTACTGTGAGTTTATGTGTATACAGTAACTCTAGAGAAATAGTTCTATCTGACATTTAAACAAAATTATTTGTTACTACTTATATGATTTTTGGATTCAAACCTGTATGTGGGTGGAAACCCGGCCCTAATATGCTGAAGTGTATTTCCCTGTGTTGATCAGCTAAAATTACTCTTGCTCCTAAGGTGGTATTTTGCATAAACTCCAAGTATCTGTGGGTTGGACTAATGTTAGATTAGATGGATTTCTTGGCTGTTCATTGCATTAGGTTTGGATCATACTATCAGCTGTTGATGTTGTTTATTATTGTGAGAAGAGACAAAGTATGGCAAACAGAAGAGAAAACCGTTAGGTCCTGCAACAGCTGGTTTAAGCCAGCTGTCGTGAAACTGTCCAGAAGCAGATGGCACTGCTAAACTGGAAGTGGTTTAAGCTTTTCTTTGCTTTATCCTTCATGCAGGGACACTGAACGATGTCACAGTCCAAAGCTCTTTCCTTGTCATATCTACATTCATTTTACCTCTTTTGTCCTGTTAACTCATGACAATACTTGGAAGTCATCTGCACGTAGTCTCCAGTCCTTTGTGTCTAAAAGATGCCTTGAATCTAGCAAATTCTCTCTACCTCCTTGCTGTATTTTATCCCAAAGCATTGTTTTTTCCTTCCCATCTTGTTCTAATACCTTCTGTTATTTACACTGACTACTTCTAGTTATGTTATTCTCCACAATGTGGTCAGAATAAAGGTTTTAAAACTTTCCATATTGCCATTGTTTTTAAAACTTTACTTCCTTTGCTTAAAACATCTAAATGACTCAGTATTAGTGGATTTGCCTTACCTGCATCATCTCTTGCCATATTTCTATTCTTGTCCTGTTGCCCAGCCACACAGCTGTTCATGGGCTCTTTATTCTTCCGTCTGGCTACACAACTCATTTGTTGTTTGGGTTAGAGCTCACTTTGTCCTGTAACCCACAATCTAATTTGCCCTTCCCACCCAATCACCATTCATCCCTGGAATGTATTGTCTTATTATTGTCACATTTATATTTGTGATTATTTGGTTACTGACTTTTCCATGGTTGGCCATAAGCTTGATGGAGACAGAAACTGGTGGTTTTTGTTGCACCTGGAGTCCCACTGCTTAGCATAGCTCTTGGCCTGTAGATGCTTAATTAAAATTTGCTGTGTAAATAAATGCCCTTCCATGTACTATGATATTATGTGATTTCTTTTTTAATAATAACTTACTTTGAAGATGTTTAAAATAAAATGCTGGAGAAGATGATAGTTGTTTGTCAACAGGTGGTTGAGCAAGGACTCAGTTGGTCCCAGTAACATAGAACAGTGTTTCAGTGGTCATGCTTATTCCTCATATCCATTAATTAATTTAGTTACTAGCTCATTTGTACCATTAAGTTACTGTGTACCTCTCATGGTAGCTGTTAAAGAACTACCAATACAAATGGTAGATAGCAACTTTGATGTTGAGCATCTCACAGTCTAACAGGAGTTACAATCTTTGAACAAATATAGCAGTAATGAAGTCATAAGTATGGGAAGTGCTGTAAGGGAAGGAAAGTATAATTTGCTCTAGCACAGTGATTCTCATCCTGGAGTTGATTTTGCCCCACAGCATTTAAGACTTGAGACATTTTTGGTTGCTGCACCAAGAGGTGAGGTGGCAGTACTACTGTCATTTAATGAGGACATGCTGGATTCACAGGACCAAAATCTCAATAGTACCAAGGCAGGGGCCCCTCCTCCAGAAATGGGATGATCAGCCACACTGTTTAAACAATAAGATGATTAGAAGTTACTACACGCAGAGAGTGAAAGAATAGATGAGCATTCAGATAGAAGGAAAAATATGTGGGAAGATCTGAAGATTGGAAGGTCACATCTCCTTCAGTGTGTTACAAGTATGAGCAAAAAGGCTATGTGTGGCCATTTTTGGGCAAAGAGGGCATAGAGAAAGGCAGAGGTCCACTGAAGCAAAGCCTTCCTGGTCAGGGTTGTCTGGGAAATACCCAGTGGGTCTCCTTAGGAAATTGTTGGATGCATGGGTCTGGAGCTCAAATGAGAAGTAGGAATTGGTGATACATTTTTGAATGCTGTTCATATGGCTGGAATTTAAAGTTATGAATTAATACTGGTTCTACTTTGCCAACCTGTGCTTGCTTTTCTTTTGCCGAAACTCAGCCACTGGAGGCTGGTTCAGCAAAGATATGTTAGGTTCATGCAGGGTTAGGGTTTGTCAGGTAGGTGTGAAAAAAGATGATGTAGCCAGAGGAGAACAACTACTGTACTGTAAAACTGCTGGTGTTTTTCTAAAATGAGATTTTGGTACTTCTCATGGGAGGAAAATTTACTATGAATTCCTTGCCATAAACTATATTGAGTGCTTTTTTTAGTAATTATTTGAGTATACTTCATTCTATATTTATTTATTGGTGTTTTCTAAATTCTGGGGTGGGGGATGTGCATCTGTTGAATGATATACATTAAATAGAAAGACTAAAATTGGTTATTGTGTAACTTCAGAAGTAGAAATAAATAACAGATTTATCTTAGTATAGACTCTGTGATTTATATTAGATGTACAATTGACTCTTTTCTCATGAAGCACAAGCAGGAGAACCAGAATATCTAGAGCAGCCATCAAGAAGTGATTTCTCAAAGCACTTGAAAGAAGAAACTATTCGAGTAATTACCAAGGCATCACATGAGCATGAAGATAAAAGTCCTGAAACAGTTTTGCAGTCGGTAAGAACTTTTCTTTTGGCTCTCTGAACGCATTCCTGAAGTGTAGTAGAGAGCATACTGTCTGGGAGTCAGGAGACAGACCCCAGTGACAGCTCTGCCATGAATGTGATCCATGAACACGGGCAAATCAGCTAATCCCTTAGGGTATCATTTCCTAAGTTCTAATTTTAAAGATGGTTTTAAGCTTCTATCTTAGTGTTATAGAATTATGAAGAATCATACTCTTAAACTAAATTAACCATTTGATTTGTAAAAGAAGTATAAAATTAAGCAATATTTTTTCTATCCCTACACTTCCCTCCATCTATAATCTGATGACATTGGAATATTTGGGAGTTTCAGATAGTTTTCATTATTCCATGAAATGTGTTTAACAATAAAACTAGATACTCTAGGTTAGAATGTTATTAGCAAGGTAAAGATAATGTTGTAAAATACTTTATGCATGACAGAAGACTTTCCTTTGCAAAAATTGTCATTAGTATCTTACTGTATTATAGTTTTTCAAATATGTCTTTTTATAGCAGTAAATTGAGCATGTTGGTTTCATACTGTATTACCAGTGAATATAACATTCTGAGATGCTATAAAACCATTCAGATGCTATTGTCATTTATTTAGTGAGCATACACAGCTCTAAATGTGAGTTTTATGATAACTCCTTATAATATTTGAAGAGACTCCTCCTGAAGAGTAGGTTACATCATAATTTTACAGCACATTATTTTCTACTTACTGAATTAACTCAATTCCAACAGTAACCTGCTAATTACAGTGGGACCTTTAATATAAAACCACTATCAAAATTTCCGATGACTAGGATTCTATTATATTTTGATGAACTAAATTTTTTGAACTAAATACTAGAAATCATTCCTTCATTTTTGTTTAAAATTTTTGAAAATGTGTTAATTTATCATTTTATCATTTAAAGTATATTAATGTAAATTTTTTTTTATGTTTCAAGTTTTGCAAATGCCCTTGACACTATAAATGAAATTGAAATGTACATCTGCTAACTCTAGGACTTTTCTTGGAAAATGCTTTGTATGGTTCTGGGAGGTCTGCTTCTTGGAAGAATAGGAAGAAGAAAACTTAAGGAAGGAAAAAGGAGAGAGGAGTAGGTACAAGGCAGAACTACTTTTGCTTAGTATAAAAAATGAATTTGCAGGGATTTTGATACTTATTACTTTCATTTGCTAGAGCCTGCATTATCTTTACTAAATGTCATCCTTTTAGCTGATATCAGAAAACCATTAGCATTACCTAGTTTAATGAATCTTTTTTTGATTTGGCTAGTCATATGTAATTTATAGAAATCAACACTTTAATTTCATTACTCCATTTTCTTAATATGAATATGATTTTTTTTTTGATTTTTTTGACAGGCAGAGTGGACAATGAGAGAGAGAAAGAGAGAAAGGTCTTCCTTTTGCCGTTGGTTCACCCTCCAATGGCCGCCGCGGCCGGCGCGCTGCGGCCGGCGCACTGCGCTGATCCAGTGGCAGGAGCCAGGTGCTTTTCCTGGTCTCCCATGGGATGCAGGGCCCAAGGACTTGGGCCATCCTCCACTGCACTCCCTGGCCACAGCAGAGAGCTGGCCTGGAAGAGGGGCAACCGGGACAGAATCCGGTGCCCCGACCGGGACTAGAACCCGGTGTGCCGGCGCCGCAAGGCGGAGGATTAGCCTAGTGAGCCGCGGCGCCAGCCAATATGAATATGATATTATAAGCTAGGATCCTATCCTCATTTTACCTTGAGAAAGTAGAATGTCAGAGAATGAATATGATAGACAAGAAGTGTACGTATTTTCTATAGCACTTGTTTTGCAGAGTAGCATACGTTGTTGATCTCCTTGTCTTTAAATTTGATAGCATGTCTGAAAAGTGTGTTAGCTGTGTCTATCCAATGTCACCTTTGGTTCTTAGCACTGTGATCAGTTGCTTAGGATCACAATAACCACTTCATATTGTGTTTCCTCATTTCAACATGACATACATTAGAAATTGAAATGCGTATTAAAAAAGAGTCTTCAGACTATAGGAACCAATACTTCTGAGTTTTTGAATCTTGATTTTATTTCTTAGAACAATGTAGCCTTGAATAATTAGCTTAGTTTCTTTAAACCCAAGTTTTCTTTCCATAAAGTGGAAGTGATTGTGGGCTTAATGGAGATAATTTTCCAACAATTGTTTGATTATTTATGAGGCAGAAAGAAACTGACAGAAATCTGCCATCTGGTGGTTTTTCTCCCCAGATACCTCCAACAGGTGAAGCTGGGCTAGGCCAAGCCTAGGAGTGGAGAACTCAGTCTAGATCTCCCAGGTTGGTGGCATGGTCTCAGTCACTTGGGCCATCACTGCTGCTGCTGCTTTCCAGGGTCTGTACCAGCAGGAAGCTGGAATCAGTAGCTGAGCCGGAATTCAAACCCAGACACTACCTTATAGGATGTTGCCATTAAAACTGGCATCTAAACTGCCAGACTAAGTATCTGTCCCTAAAGAACATTTTTGGGAGTGTCTGTCATGGCATGTAGTAAGCACTAAGTAAGCTGTTTCCTTGTGTTACTTCAAGTCTAAACATTTCACAAAGAGACACCAGATTAAGCCACTAGTTAGCCTAAGAAGAATTTCCTGGATGGCTTGGAACTATAGAAATTGTAGACATTCTCCCAGTGTTCAGTCAGCTGACCTTTTAGAAGGGTATCTTTAACTGTAAATACTTCATGATATTTTTTAAAAGTACATTAAAGTAGACTCCAAGAAAGAATCTTGAATAATCCCATTCACCAATCAAAGTTAATAATTTTTAATATGTTGGTATGTTATTTTTTCACTCTTTAGTTTTTTGTACATAGGATTGGGATTTATTTTTGTAGATGGGTTACTACACATAAAATTTTATGTTACCTTTTCTTCATTTATTCCCTTAACCTTATAACCACTTTCCATGTTATAAACTCAGCAAAACAATGTTTAATGGCCAATTATTATTCCAGTGAGTATTGAATTCTTATTTATTTACCAATTCCCCCATTGTATATTTGTTTTTACTTTTACATTATTATAAATAGGCTGCTAGAAGTAAAACATTTCCATATATCAGGCTATTGCCTTATAATACATTCCCCTTGGTTGAATGGGTTAAAACGTATGGCATATTAATGTGGAAAGAGGGATTACAGTTATATAGCTTTTTTTTTAAACAATTATTTATTTATTTGAAAGAGTTAGAGACAGAGAGAGAGAAGTGTCTTCCATCCCCTAGTTCATTCCTCAGATGGCTACAATGGCCAGAGCTGTGGCAATCTGAAGTCAGGAGCCAGGAGCTTCTTCCGGGTCTCCCACATGGGCTCAGGGGCCCAAGGACTTGGGCCATCTTCTACTGCTTTCCCAGGAGCATTAGTAGGGAGCTGGATCAGAAGTGGAGCAGCCGGGTCTTGAACCGGCACCCATATGGAATGATAGCACTGCAGATGGCATCTTTACTCGTTACGCCACAGCACTGGTCCCAGTTACATTGCTTTCTAACATTCTTATGAAATCACTTTTTATGATTCACAGATTTCAGGAAATTAATAATCATTGTATTTTCATTATTTTTGCAACAAATCGACAAACTTGTTTTTAACTTACTTCAAATGTCAATCTTAATGTAGTCATCATATAAGCCCTGAAAATAAAGGAAAGATAATCATGCACTTTACTTCATTGAATCTGGAAATTCCTTATATGCAAGATTTTTATTATATCTCAGGATAGCAAAATTTGATGAATACTGCAGAATTATTATAGAGTGAAAGTCTTGTCTTTTTCAACTTTTACTCATATAATTATTTTTAACTTTTATTTAATGAATATAAATTTCCAAAGTACAGAATATGGATTACAATGGCTTCCCCCACATAACATCCCTCCAACCCGCAACCCTCCCCTTATCCACTCCCTCTCCCCTTCCATTCACATCAAGATTCATTTTCAATTCTCTTTATATACAGAAGATCAGTTTAGCATACATGAAGTAAAGATTTCAACAGTTTGCTCCCACACAGAAACATAAAGTGAAAAATACTGTTTGAGTACTAGTTATAGCATTAAATCTCAATGTACAGCACACTAAGGACAAAGATCCTACATGAGGAGTAAGTGCACAGTGACTCTTGTTGTTGACTTAACAAATTGACACTCTTGTTTATGGCATCAGTAATCACCTTAGGCTCTTGTCATGAGCTGCCAAGGCTATGGAAGCCCCCTGAGTTCACTGACTCTGATCATATTTAGACAAGGCCATGGTCAAAGTGGAAGTTCTCTCCTCCCTTCAGAGAAAGGTACCTCCTTCTTTGATGACCCGTTCTTTCCACTGGGATCTCACTCGTGGAGATCTTTCATTTAGGTCCCCCCCCCCCCCCCCAGAGTGTCTTGGCTTTCCATGCCTGAAATACTCTCATGGGCATTTCAGCCAGATCCGCATGCCTTAAGGGCTGATTATGAGGCCAGAGTGCTGTTAGGACATTAGCCATTCTATGGGTCTGCTGTGTATCTCACTTCCCATGTTGGATCATTCTCTCCCTTTTTGATTCTATCAGCTGGTATTTGCAGACACTATTCTTGTTTATGTGATCCCTTTGGTTCTTAGTCCTATCATTATGATCAATTGTGAACAGAAATTGATCACTGGGACTAGTGAGATGGCATTGGTACATGCCACCTTGATGGGGATGAATTGGAATCCCCTGGTATGTTTCTAACTCTACCGTTTGAGGTAAGTCAGCTTGAGCATGTCCCGAATTGCACATCTCTTCCCTCTCTTATTCCCACTCTTACATTTAACAGTGATCACTTTTCAGTTAAGTTTCAGTACTTAAGAAGAATTGTGTATTGATTATAGTATTTTACCAAAAGTATTAAGTAGAACAAACAAAAAAGATACTAAGAGGGATAACATATTAAGCTGCTCATCAACAGTCAGGGTGAGGGCTGATCAAGTCACCGTTTCTTATAGTGTTCATTTCACTTTAACAGGTTTCCTTTTTGGTTCTCAGTTAGTTGTCACCTATCAGGGAGAACAACTGGTATTTGTCCCTTTGTGATTGGCTTATTTCACTCAGCATAATGTTTTCCAAATTCCTATCAGGGATCACTTTTCAGTTAAAATTTAAACACCTAAGAATAATTGTGTGTTACTTACAGATTTCAACCAATGGTACTAGAACAAAAAAAAAATACTAAAATGGATAAAGTATTACATTGTACATCAACCATCAGGACAAGAGCTGATCAAGTCACTGTTTCTCACAGTGTCCATTTCACTTCAACAAGTTTCCCCTTTGGTGCTCAGTTAGTTGTTGCCAATCAGGGAGAACATATGCTATTTGTTCCTTTGGGACTGGCTTAATTCACTCAGCATGATGTTTTCCAAATTCCTCCATCTTGTTGCAAATGACTGGGTTTCGTTGTTTTTGACTGCTGTATAGTATTCTATAGAGTACATGTCCCATAATTTCTTTATCCAGTCTACTGTTGATGGGCATTTGAGTTGGTTCCAGGTCTTAGCTATTGTGAATTGAGCTGCAATAAACATTAATGTGCAGACAGCTTGTTTGTTTGCCAATTTAATTTCCTTTGGGTAAATTCCAAGGAATGGGATGGCTGGGTTGAATGGTAGGGTTATCTTCAGGTTTCTGAGGAATCTCCAGACTGACTTCCATAGTGGCTTAACCAGTTTGCATTCCCACCAACAGTGGGTTAGTGTCCCTTTTTCCCCACATCCTCTCCAGCATCTATTGTTGGTAGATTTCTGAATGTGAGCCATTCTAACTGGGGTGAGGTGGAACCTCATTGTGGTTTTTGATTTGCATTTCCCTGATTGCTAGTGATCTTGAACATTTTTTCATGTGTCTGTTGGCCATTTGGATTTCCTCTTTTCAAAAATGTCTATTGAGGTCCTTGGTCCATCTCTTAAGTGGGTTGTTTGTTTTGATCTTGTGGAGTTTCTTGATTTCTTTGTAGATTCTGGTAAATTGAGAAGTTTCTGTACTGAGAAAGAAACAGTCAGGAAAGTGAAGAGACAGCTGACAGAATGGGAAAATATATTTGCAAACTATGCAACTGATAAAGGCTTGATAACCAGAATCTACAAAGAAATCAAGATACTCATATAATTTTTCAGATTTCATGTTTTGAAACTCAAACTCTTGTACCTGGAAAGTCTTATAAAACATTTTCCCTAATTGTAATTTTTTCCTAAGAGAGTATTGTTTTGTAAGTATTATATTTTCTAGTTGCAGTTTGCCTTAAATTTTTATTTTCTGTTCTTAAGATAATAGATATTATATTGGATTGCTAATAAAAAAAATCATCACCACAAACTCCAGCAGACTTATTTGCCTGCTTAGAGTCATTCTTGTGGACTGAGTCCTACCACAATTTTTCTTTGTTAAGCCAGAAACATTAAAAATGCTTAATTAAATGTCATGGACCAACTATATCTCTATGGAATATATGTTGTAGTAATGTTGGATTACAATTATTCAAATATAAGCAAGTTCAAGTAACACAATAGAATAGTATAATGATATTGGTCATACTGTCATTAATAAAATAACTATTATGTATCATAGATAGGTTAGCTGAATATTCTGGTCCTGATCCTAGCAAGCACATAGGTTGGTTCTTCCTTCAAGAAAATGTGAGGACTTTAAGAGAGGATTCGATAAGTAAAGAAAACTTTTCCCAAATATATTATGGTCAAAAGTAACATTTCTTTTCAAAAGGGCTATACCAACCTTGGCCATCAATTTTCTTTTATTATTTCATTAATGTTGTTCTGCGTGTATACTTCAGAAAAGTTGGAAAATGTTTATATCACTAAAACTTAAGTATACTTCAAATGCAAGTAAACTCCTTTATTTTTTCTTTTAAATTTTACTCATTTCATGGAAAAATAAGTTTTTCATTGCTTAGGAAAATTTTTTATGATGCAAAGTAAAATTACTGAAGCCTGTGGCTTTGACACTCCTTCTACTTTTGACATTTGTTTATAGATAAACAGTGGATATGCAAGTTATAAATCTGTTCAGTAAAATGAGGGTTCTTTAGAAAGTTTGCAAGCAAAAAGGAATTAAAGTGTTTCTCAAAAAATTCTTGAAATTGGGGCCAGCACTGTGACGTAGCGGATTAGGCCACTGCCTGCAGTTTTGGCATCCCATATGGACGCTGGTTTGAGGCCTGGCTGCTTTACTTCCGATCCAGCTCTTTGCTATAGCCTGGGAAAGTAGTAGAAGATGGCGCAAGTCCCTTGGCCCCTCTATCCATGTGGGAGACCTAGAAGAAGCTCCTGGCAGCTGGCTTTGGATCCACACAGCTAAGGCCATTGCAGCCAGTTGGGGAGTGAGCCAGCTGATGGAAGACTTCTCTCTTTCTGCCTCTGCATCTCCTTCTCTTTGTGTAACTCTGACTTACAAATAAATAAATCTTCAAAAAGATTCTTGAAATCAATGCATATAGTTTTTCATAATATAGAGTTTAGTGAACTTTTTGAATACTTCATATGCATGGATTTCAAGTTTAGTAACTCAGTTTTTCACTAGCATTTTTTGCCCTCCTAAAACTATACAGAGTCTGAACAGTATTTTGAATGAATCATTTTTGAGTTTTTGAGAGAGCTTTTCTAAATTTTGCAATTACTTCCTGTTAGTGTGAATTAGTGTAATGCATGGAATTTAAGAAAAAAGGAACAAATCTAAGTCATTACCAACAGCTTTTTTTTTTTTATTCCCAACAAGAATTCAGTGGATGCTAATGATTAAATGATTCATGTACTGTACTGGAATAGAGGGGGTTACACACACTACAGTATCAATTGTGACTGGATACATGTTAGTTACTTGGAAAGATAGAAAGGTAAAACCATAAGCAAAATAACCTACAGACTCTTGAGTTTAGAAGAGGTCATATTGATATACCAAGAAAGGCTTTCTGGCATTATTGGATGTTAATAATAAAATTGTCAGCTGGACAGATAATAGGAATTACACCTGAAATATTTATTATTTTTTAAGTGTTTGGAATTCAAAATACTTCTAGTTTTAAGTGTTTGAGGAGTAGAGGAGCATTATAGATTTTTATATTGCCTCTGGAATAATGTATTTGATTTTTGTTTCCATTTGTAGTTAGTTTTATACCTAGCAAATGCAGGCAGTTTACTAAGATTTATGTTTCTATGGGCTTAATCTTGATTCCCTCATTCATTGTTTTCATTTCTAATGTTCATACCAATAATTTTCTTCTACAGAAACCTGAAAATACCACAAGCCAACCAATTTCTAACCAGCGAGTTCTAGAGGTGGCGATTCCTCATATAGGAAAATTTATGATTGAATCAAAGGAGGGGGGTTATGATGATGAGGTACCTTTAATATAGTCCTCTGTGCTGTTCTTGCTTAGTTTTTGTAATTTAATACAAATACTGTGGCATGCCTGCACCCTCACACTTCTTTCTGTTGCTGCATAACATTCAGCTTTCTACCCATGATGTGAAATTACCTTCCTAATTACTAACAGAACTTGGATTTCAAATGAAAATTTAAGAAGAAAGCTTATAGAATATGTCAAAAGAATAATTTTATATTTCTGGAGTTAATTCTTTTATTTAGAAGTAGGGTCAGTTTACTCTCATGTTCATAGATTGTACAGTAATATTTGTTTGATTAAATAGTAAAGATTTTTTTTTTTTTTGACAGGCAGAGTTAGTGAGAGAGACAGAGAGAAAGGTCTTCTTTCCATTGGTTAACCCCCCCAAATGGCCGCTATGGCCGGTGTACTGCACCAATCCAAAGCCAGGAGCCAGGAGCTTCTCCTGGTCTCCCATGAAGGTGCAGGGCCCAAGAATTTGGGCCATCCTCCACTGTCTTCTCGGGCCACAGCAGAGAGCTGGACTGGAAGAGGAGCAACCCGGACAGAATCTGGTGCCCCAACCAGGACTAGAACCCAGGATCCTGGTGCCACAGGCGGAGGATTAGCCAAGTGAGCCACGGTGCCGGCCAAATAGTAAAGAATTTTACATTCAAAACAAGTGTTTCTTCTTTTGCTTGCATTATGTGTTGTAAGACTTTGTGCACCCTTACCTACCAGTACGTCATGCATCATGACGATGGAAAACTGATATTTTTGCTAGTACCTATACACATGTGAATGTGAGTGAAATGGTCTGTTTCTCACCATCTACAGGTGTTTTACACACTGTGGCACTTCTATCTTGTTTCTTCTTGTCTCTTCACTCAGCTTAATTCTCATCTACTTAGTTTTCCGGCAGTATGGAGGCATTTTTGTTTCTCCTTATAGACTTCTTACCAAATCTGCAAGATATGATGTCCTGGTCCATCAGTTTGTCATCAGAATAGCTATTTTCTGGTTTTCTTCCTGCTGATTTTTCCATATTCTAGGGAGTTTCAGTAAAGCTCTTTCTCAAAAGTAACAAAAGAGAAAACTGTGTTATGTAGAAGAGGAGTGATTTGGAAAAAATGTTTATTGGATTTTATAATTTTGTGGGTATGAATGAGACTGAATATATATGATACTTCTTCCAGATAATATTTTTGCAGATTTATTCTAAGGTTATAATTACTATAGAATTTATATTTGTAGACACACACATATAAATACTTTTTAATCATGAACTGACTTACTTAGTCACCAAAATCAGAAGTGTCATAAAGATTGTAATACCACTGTGCCAGTGTAGGAAACCATCATCCATGAAGAGACTCAGAAGCACATTTGTGGAATAAGAACTAGTCAGAGGGATTTTCCTAAGCAGACAGTGTTTGATATATCATGACCTTTGGTCTATAATACAAAATAAATACTATGAGTAATGGTAATAATGCAATCTCTTGATTGTTTTTTTTTAACTTTTATTTAATGAATATAAATTTCCAAAGTACAGCTTATGGATTAGAATGGCTTCCCCCCCCATAACTTCCCTCCCACCCGCAACCCTCCCCTTTCCCACTCCCTCTCCCCTTCCATTCACATCAAGATTCATTTTCAATTCTCTTTATATACAGAAGATCAGTTTAGTATATATTAAGTAAAGATTTCAACACTTTGCACCCACGTAGAAACACAAAGTGAAAAATACTGTTTGAGTACTAGTTATAGCATTAAACCACAATGTATAGCACATTAAGGACAGAGATCCTACATGAGGAGTAAGTGCACAGTGACTCTTGTTGTTGACTTAACAAATTGACACTCTTGTTTATGGCATCAGTAATCACCCTAGGCTCTTGTCATGAGTTTCCAAGACTATGGAAGCCTTTTTGATCTCTTGATTGTTATAACTTCATAGTGCTTCAAGCTATTTCATTTTGTAGATATTTTGATATAAACGTTTAGTAAGCTAATATACAAATAATTCATATGTATCAAATTTAACCTTTATACATTGTTCCTATTAACTTTTATTACCATGTTGGCTCTTGAAAATGATTGAAACTAGTGTATTTTGATAAACTATTAATTTTTAAAATACTATTTGAAAGACCCAAGGACAGAAAGAAAGAGATAAACAGAAAAAGAAATCTTTTGTTTGCTGGTTCACTCTCCTCATGTGTGCAACAGCCAGGACTGGGCCAGGCAGAAGCCAGGAACCATGACCTTGACCAAGGACTCCCATGAGGGTGGCAGGGATCCAAGTGCTTGAGCCATCAACTGCCTCCCAGGTACATTAGCAGAAAGCTGGTTCAGAAGATGAGGTGGGACTTGATTGAGGCTTTCAAAAATAGGTCGTGGGTGGGCATCCTGAGTGGCAGCCTAATCTACTGTGCCAAAGTATAGTCCCTAAGATTGAAATTTTTTGAACAAGTGCCCAAGTTCTTGTTTTAGGGTAAGCTTTCTTGCATTTAGGGAAAAAAAAGTAGAAATGAGGTTAATCATATAACACTATTTTGTGCAAATGCTTATGCTATTGGCAGAGTTGTTTGTTTTGTTTTAATTTATTGAAGTGACAGTTCAACAGTGCATGTGTCTTGGAATTTTAAATGTGACTTATGTGGATACAGGACTGCTGCTCACTGCTGTACAGGTTGTACAGTTCTGTGGGAGTGCCTCACTTCAGAGGGAGAAATGGGATTCAGTTGGTCTTGTGCTGAGGTCCCCAAGCCTTGAGGAAGAAGCACCTTTTTGGTAAAAAAGGAATGCTTCTTCCTCTGAATAGTTCTCTGAGAGGAAAACACATTTTTCTCATTTATTTGTCCAAAAGGGAGTGCCTTTTTAAATTTCCCTGTTGAGAGAGAGTTGCCTTTTTGCAGTTTGCACCTATGAGCCTGCAGTGCATGGATGAATTTGAAAGATGCCTACATGCATACTGGCTAACTTTTGCTACTTAAAAATATATACATCATTGGATTTATTAATAGTAGATAACAAAAGTGTTTTAACTTGCATGTGATGAAATTATTTTGATTTTAAATTTTAATTTATGTTAACTGTTCAAAAACTGTTACTTTAAATCCCTGTGGCAGATCATGCTGACACCGAACATGCAAGGTATTATCATGGCGATAGGTAAATCCAGGAATGTATATGACAGGTGTGGCCCTGAAGCAGGGTTCTTTAAGGTACTATTCACATTTTCATCTTATTTGCTGCTGCTTCTTTTTTTTTTCATAAGTTATGGTTCTTAATATGTTTTATTTCTTTTAATTAAATTTGGTTTCTTAATGTAATTTATTTTCCTATCTTAGATATGGCCACCTGTTTTTCTGGGAGTTTCTTCTTTTATTCATGAATCTAAGACATGATTCTTTTAATTAAGATGATTAAGGAAAAGCAAAGCATTTTACTTGAATTTCCCGAATAATTTGCCTCTAATTTGATAGCAGAAATTTGAATTGTATTTTATATTTGAAGGTAATAAGGTTATTGATGAAAAAGACTAGGAACTTAGTAATTGCTTCTGACAATAGTTTATTTGCTCCTCTTCAGACCATTGGTGAATATGACATTTTCCTCTACTTTTATTATCACTTGACACTAAATTGCTTACTTCATTGAACTTTTTAAAAATGATTTGATAATTTATTATACTTTTATGCTTCTTACTCTATTCATATGTCTTCATCATAATTAATTTTTATATTTAAGGCTTAGGAGAGTGTCATGCCAATGTGCATTCCATGACCACTTCTCTTTAGTTCTATGACAGTATTACATTATTATCTTTTACATATTAGAAAGATGAAAGCATCATGTATGTTTTGTCATTTTACTTAGATTAACCAAAAATCTTCAATGTTTTTTCACTACTTTCCTCTTTCCAGTGCTTTTTATTTTTTACTTTTTTAAAAACAACCTAACAAGGAGGCAGCTCCAGGATGGCGGAATAGGGAGGGAGTGCACTGATAGTCCAGGAAAAGATAGTTTAATAAAAGTGGAGATACTGTAGTCTCAGGGAAGAGTTAGGGGAAAAAACTGCAGAGGAACTCTTCCGGAATTAGAGGGCATAGGCGCCCATGGCTCGGGACCCCAGCTGCTGAGAAAGCACTGGAAAGGGAGGTGAGGCAGAAACTCAGTAGCCTGAAACACTGGCAGAAAAGCAGCAGGAAGAGCCTAGAGGGAATGAGGCTTGAAGCCCTGTGGGGGAAACTAGACCAGTACGGACATGATTCTCTCTCTCCACTCACCTTACAAAAGCGAGCAAGACAAGAGAGCAGGTGCCATTTTGGACATATGTAACAGCTGTGCCAGCTCAGGGCTGTACCTGCCCTCAGTCAAGCAGAAACACCTGACTCTGGTGGGGAGAAATAACAGGAGACTAAGACCTAGTGAATGTGTGGAGCTTACGAACTAGGACTGTGGGGGGAAAAAAAAAAACTGAGGGTGTGTGGGAGAACTCAACAGTGTGGCTGAGATGTGAGTAGTCTCAGTAGGAGACGCCACAGATTTGGGCAGCTTTGGCTACCCAGTGAGACATTGCAGGGGAATCTGAGCTTACACTGAAGACTGCACAGATCGTCCTTGGGACAGAGCAGACAAATATACCCACTGGGGCTAGCGCTCAGGCACTGATTGCCATCAAGGAGAAGAGCTCAGCTGAGTGGAATTACTTCCCTTCTGAATTCAAAAAAAAAAAAAAAAAGAGAGAGAGAGAAGATTAACCAAGCCAAACCTGGGTGTGTCACTTTTGGCACACCCTTAACCCTGAAGAACTGAACAGAGCTCTCTGGCCACAATCACCACAAGCCTCTAGAGATTCACCAAAAGCAGACCACTTACTCTAGAGTCATAGTGTAACAAGAAAAGCCACCTCTGTGAGGAAAAAAAAAAAAAAGAAGAAGAAACCAAAGAATATCTCCACAATGCCAAACAAAAAACGCAGAAACCAAGGAAATAAGAACAAGGAAGACATCATGACGCTCCCAAATGAACATGAGACTCCAATACAATATTATGAAGATGATCAGATAGAAGAAATGCAAGATACAGATTTCAAAAAATTTATGATAAGAACATTTAGAAGTTATCAAAAAAAATGAATGAGCTACAGAAATCCATACAGGACAGGACAGAAAATCTCTCTCATGAAAATGAAATCTTAAGGAGGGATCAAAATGAAATGAGGAATTTAGTAGAACATGAAATTGAGATATTAAAGAGAAATCAAAATGAAATGAAGAATTCAATAGAACAAATGAAAAACACACTTGAGAGCCTTAAAAACAGACTCAGTGAGGTAGAAGAGAGAATATCAGACTTAGGAGACAGAACACAGGAAAGTATACAGTCAAACCAAAGAAAAGAAGAGGAAATTAGAAATCTAAAAAATATTGTTGGGAATCTACAGGATACTATTTAAAAACCCAGCATTCGGGTTCTAGGAGTTCCTGAAGGCATGGAGAGAGAGAAAGGATTAGAAGGCCTTTTTGTGAGATACTAGCAGAAAACTTCCCAGGTTTGGAGAAAGAAACATCCAAGTACAGGAAGCACATAGAACCCCCAACAAACATGACCAAAAGAGATCCTCACCATGACACGTTGTAATCAAACTCACCACAGTGAAACATAAAAGATTCTAAAATGTGCAAGAGAGAAATGTCAGATTACTTTCAGAGGAGCTCCAATTAGACTTACAGCAGACTTCTCATCAGAAACCCTACAGGCTAGGAGAGAATAGCGAGATATAACCAAAGTCTTCTGATGTTTTCATTTGTTTTATAATGAAAAGTTATGGACAGTATACAATGCCATTGTCATTTATGGTTAAGTTGGTTATCTTTATGTCTAATTGGAAATTTTATTTTTATTCAATTAATATCTGCATATACTTTGAAAGATCACTATCACCCACCCTCCTCCCCCAGTGATAACAGCTTTCAATTATTTTGTTAATGCTTTTGCCTTTAATTGCATATCTTTGAATAGATTTTTTTTTTATGATTCTTAGTTTTTACAGTCCTTGTGAATTCTCTTCTGTGTAACATGAATGATGATCCTCTTCTGCTCTTTGTACACTCATCCACACGTTCCAGTCATCTGTATAACAAACACACAACACACACATCTTGTAGCTTTTATTATATCAGAAATCTAGAATTGCAGTAGGAATTGAGCTAAACTGTAAATGTCACTTCCACTTTTCCCATTAGCTATTGTTTTTTTTTTTTGTTGTTGTTGTTGTTGTTGACAGGCAGAGTGGATAGAGAGAGACAGAGAGAAAGGTCTTCCTTTTGCCGTTGGTTCACCCTCCAATGGCCGCTGGCTGGCGCGCTGCGGCTGGCGCACCGCGCCTATCCGAAGGCAGGAGCCAGGTGCTTCTCCTGGTCTCCCATGGGGTGCAGGGCCCAAGCACTTGGGCCATCCTCCACTGCCTTCCGGGCCACAGCAGAGAGCTGGCCTGGAAGAGGGGCAACCGGGACAGAATCTGGCGCCCTGACTGGGACTAGAACCCAGTGTACCAGCACCGCTAGGTGGAGGATTAGCCTAGTGAGCCACGGCGCCGGCCCCATTAGCTATTATTTGGAGTTAGTTGCTTAGTTTTTCATTTGCTTAGTTTTCTATGTGTATCATTGGTTCACCTCTCCACCAGTTGCTTAAATGGCATCTTACTCAACCACTACCAGTTGAACCATTTTGGGGAGCCTGTACCAAAGCTTTGTGATGTTTTCTGATCTAGATTGGTTTTTCTTTACTCCTAAAGGATAGCTAGTAATTCAAGACTTCCTCTGTCATCCTAGATTGACTTTGCATGTTTACCTTCATGTATTTTCTGTATGTCACATATTTTGGGTCACCTTCTGATTTTGATGTGCAGTAAGAAAGCAGTTTTAGGGGCCGGTGCCATGGTGCAGTAGGTTAATCCTCCATCTGCAGAGCCAGCATCCCTTATGGGCTCTGGTTCTAGTCCGGCTGTTCCTCTTCCCATCCAGCTCTCTGCTATGGCCTGGGAAAGCAGTAGAGGATGGCCCAAGTGCTTGGGCCACTGCACGCACACAGAAGACGGGAGGAAGCTTCTGGCTCCTGGCTTCAGATCAACAAAGTTCCAGCCATTGCAGCCATTTGGAGAGTGAACCACTTCAAGTATAGGAGATTGAGGAAAGGAAAACAAAGTGAATAAAGGTTGTCCTATTATGCAGATAAAATTTCTCAGATAACAGTTACCAGAAGAAGATCTGTGGCAATCTCTGTCTGGGGCAAGTATTAGCCCCAGTATCATTTTCTTGTGAAAATGTTAAAGGGGAGCCTCAGAGAGAGCCTGTTCACACTAGCTGTGTACTTGAACTGCAGGTGCAAATCTCCCCCAGAAAGGGAGCGACTTTTAGAACCATTCTGGTGACTGCAGCCCCTCTGAATAGCCATCTAGAAAAGCGGTGGGAGTCTTATTGTTTTTGGTTTTTAAAATACTTTTATTTAAACAATTTGAACAGATATGTATATACCAGTGGGGTACTGTGTGATACATTGGTACACATATAAATTGTGTAATCTCCATTCAGGGCAAAGGATCATTTAATACTTCATTATAATGAAAATATCCAAAATCCTACCTTCTAGTTTGTTTTTTATTTTTCATAGTGAAGTACACAGCACATTAATATCCATACTCACTACTGTGTAATACATGAGTGGGTTATGTTGATCTCCCTTGTGCTTAATCAAACAGCTCAATTACAAAACCTTGTAACTTTTGTCTCTTTATTGTATTTGTGTTTATTATTTATGTCTGTGTACATTTTTATCTATAATTGAGTATATTTTTGTGTAAATTTATATAAATAGCTGTTTGTAATGTGTATTTTGATAAAGGTAAATGGTTAGTATTTGGGAAATTCTAGTTGATAATAGACTATTGATAAAAGATTGTTTAAAAATTCATCATATAAAAACCAAAAATAATACATATAAAATGCATCTAGTAACAAAAATATAAAACAATAAAACTTAGAATGGCAGTATCTGCCACTGCCCTGTCATAACCACTGTTAGCATCATAAATCTTTCCTGTTCTTGTTTTGTAAAATAATAATATTCATCTATAGAGAAATATTCTTGATTTTACTATTCATATAATTTTCTACCTTCTATCACTCAGAAATATCTTTCTTAAAATTAAGATAGCATA